TGTCCTGGGGGGCTGTCCTGGGGGGCTGTCCTGGGGGACTGTCCTGGGGGCTTCCTGGGGGACTGTCCTGGGGGGCTGTCCTGGGGGGCTGTCCTGGGAGGCTGTCCTGGGGGGCTGTCCTGGAGGCTTCCTGGGGGGCTGTCCTGGGGGCTTCCTGGGGGGCTGTCCTGGGGGCTTCCTGGGGGGCTGTCCTGGGGGGCTGTCCTGGGGGCTTCCTGGGGGGCTGTCCTGGGGGCCTCCTTGGGAGGCTGTCCTGTCTTTTTGAGGACACAATTCACCACACAGTGTAAAATGTAGCCACTGCTGGCCCTGGCAAAGGAAGCTGCAGAGCAGCGTCCATGGATGAGAGTTCATTACAGAATCGAGGGCAAGAAGACCCACTGACTTCTGAACATGTTTTAAACGCATCTTATTGTTTTTTGTATTTACATAACGGACTTAGAGGCTAGAGACCAGTTCCTATACTCTGTTTTTTTTCTTTTAGCTGTGATGGTCATGCACATCTTCTGCATTACAGAGAATAAAAAAGTCACAGATGTTTTCAGTTTGGGTCTGGGTTCCTTCCTTTTTTCTGTTTCCCATTGCTTGTTGGGACTGAGTGGGCCTGGCCATTCTCGGAGGGGAGAGTGGGCTGTGAGCGGCCTCCCCACGCAGGTACGCTGCAGACGCAGGTAAAGTGGCTTGTAAACCTGTTGCTGTCCCCATCGCGCCGCCTTTCAGATGAAGAGCCGGCCTTTGTCTGGCCCAGAGAACAAGCTTGCTGTCTTTATAGGACGATTAGTTGGACAATGACCGCCGTCCCTGTGGGCTTGGGGTGCAGTGGACCGGAACGGAATCCCAGCGGCGTGAAGAGTCGCTGGGGGCGTGGATGTGGCTGAATAGCAACAGTTACCTCTCTGAATAGATTACACTGAAAAAAAAAATCATTGTGCGGTGGGGGAGGGTCTGCTGAGGCTGTGAGCCTCGACCGTGCCATTTTCTGTCTCCACAGCTCCGGGAGGAAGCCTGGCGGGGCTTTGCTGCCCTGGATGACCCACTCACAGGACTCCTGGACATGCTGGAGGGTGGCCACACCAGCGGGGGACAGGGTCACTCACTGCAGGCCTGGGTTGCCTGTGAGCTGCAGCGCTGGCTGCAGGCGCAGCCACTGAGCCTGAGGCTGGCCCCCGTGAGCCCCCCACCACGGGCCCCCGTGTCCCAAAGCCACGGCCTTCCTGCCCTCCATCCGCCTGCAGCCATGCCCACCAGCCAGGCTGCTGTGGCCAGCTCAGCTTGTCTGGGGCGGGCGGGGTGGGGACACTGGCCTTAGCACCAGCTTCCATGCCTTGGGACGTGGGCCTGACCTCCAGTGTCCTGCTGCCTGCCCCAAACATCCACTCCATGGACCAGAGCTGCAGGGACCCAGGCCCTGCCCTGTCACTTCCCGGGACCAGCCAAGGGTGGGCGGGTGGCAGGGAGCTTGGGAGACGCTGCGTGCAGTAAGAGCCTCACTCGGCCTGCCTTGTGTCCTCCAGGGCAGCCCACAGCTGGGACAGCTGCAGGCCCGTGCAGCTGGGGTCCTCACTGGGAGCCCCCTCAGTCTCACAGAGCTTCTGGTCAGCATCTTCCGGCTGCAGGATGCTGACCGGAGCCTCCTGCTGGACCACATTGACCGCCTCCACGAGAGGGGCAAGTTCAAAGAGGTGCGTGTGATTTCTGACCGTCATCCATGGGAGCAGGTCCCCCTGGGCAGGACTTCGGCTGGGGCTGCACAGGGCAGGGGGCCAGCCAGGCAGGCTGCCCCAGGGCCACGAGCCCGTGCCTTCCTCCCCAGCATCCACACTGGGGTCTGTCCCGGGACACCCTCTCCTCCTGAGGTAACTCCCGGCACCTTGGCCCTCATACATGGCTCGGTTCTGGGTCCCCACGTCCATGCCCTGGCCGCTCTGCATCCCTGCTGTGGCCACCCCACCCTTGTCACTGCCCAAGCTCAGGCCATCATCTCTAAACCACGGCCCCACGTGGCAGACACCCACCCACCCCTTTGTCAATTCATCTGTTCCTTCTTTCATCAGCCAGCACCGCACCTCCTGTGTGCCAGGCGCTGTTCTTGTCCTGGGGTCTCAGTGAGGGGACAGCAGGCTGGGGGAAGGCTAATGATGCCCCCCTCCTCCAGGCCTATCCCAGCTGGTCCCCTTGGCCCCCCACCCTGTCCAGTCATCCAGCCAGGGCTCTAATGCAGGGAGCCTTTCAGTGACCCCGCAGAGTTGGGGCTCCCTTTGCCCTCTTCCCGCCCGTCCCCAACCCACCCACAGCCTGGCATGTCCCGAGGTCCCTTGCCTTCCCAAGTCCACATCTGAGCCCCACTGCTGCCCCTGAAGAGGAGACCTTGTCCGTGTTCTCCTGGCCTCCAGCTGGAGGACAAGACGCCTGTGGGCCAGGAGCCTTGGCGCTGCCTCCCCTCGTGGGGGGCCTGCACCCAGGCTGTGCAGCCACCCCCACACCAGGCCGGAGGGGCTCTGCTTTTGCTCCAGGTGCTGGTCCTGGGAGGGGCTGTGAGTGCCTGCTTTACCCCACAGGCCCCTCCACAGGCCCCCACTCTGGAGCAAGGTGCGCTCAGTGGGCACCGACTCTTGTGTCTGTTGATTTACACGGCCTTCAGGACACCTTTTTCTAGAACCGGCCTGGCCAACAGTGACTGTTGGTTTGTGAATCCCCCTGTGGCCTGTTGATTCTGGGGACCAGGGGACCCCTGGGCCTGCCCCGTGTGACGCTCGGCCATCTTTTAGTTTAGCATGAGAGCACAGTGCCGACACGTGGGGACACAGGCAGACTACTAGCCACTTCCGTGGACAGCTGCCGGTTCAGTCAGCCTCTGACAGCTCCTCGAGCCCTGGGGGCTGCTCCTTGTCTGAGTTAGTGTGGAGTCAGGAGCCTCTGCAGGGAGGTGTGGGCTGTCAGCTCCACGTCGGGGCTGTTGGAACAGCGGCCATTTGGCAGGTGCATCTGGGTGCGACCTGAGCCCCGGAGACAGCAGGGAGCCGGGAGGGGTGAGCGGCCAGTGGCTGCAGCAAGACCCAGGCGGAGGGCCTCAGCAGGCGTGGGGGCCAGTGGTCACAGGGCACGTTGGGAAGCCGGTGAACAAGCCTCCGGAGGCGCCGGCTTGGAAGCGCCCACCCCCTTGCCGGCCTCGAGTCCCATGGTCTCATCAGGGCCCAAGGACGAGCCTGACTCGGACACAGTGCTGCTGGTGGGCTACCGTTGGCCCCCTCGCCCCCACGCGGGCCTCTTCCTGTCCCAGAGAGGGGCTCCTGGACGTTAGGCTTCAGGTGCCAGAGCAGCCAAGCCTCAGCTGGGACCGGGCGGCCCAGGCAGAAGCGCAGCTGGTGCTTGTCCGTAGCCCGGAGCTGTGGCGGCATCACCACCTTCGGAGCCCTGTCTGGGCCTGTCCCGTGGCTCTGGAGGCCAAGACGGCAGCTCCGGGGCTGTGGGGGGCGTGGCCCCAGGACATGCAGGGTGGAGGGAGCTGCAGGGCCATGTAGGGTGGAGGGCACGGCCCTGGGACGTACAGGGTAGGATTTGATAGGGGCTGTGAGGGTTGGGAGCCCTGGAGGCACAGTGGTTGAAGCCCTGGACTGCTAACCCAAAGGTTGGCGGTTGGAACCACCAGCAGCTCCGTTGGAGAAAGCTATGGCAGTCTGTTTCTGTAAAGATTTACAGCCTTGGAAACCCTGTGGAGTCACTATGAGTCTGAATCGACTTGACAGCAGTGGGCTTGGTTCGGGTTTTGGTGAGGGGTGGAGGGCGCAGTGGGGGTGGCGCTGTTCTGACGGGAGGCCGCCTCGAGCGCAGGCAGCAAGGCGGCTCGGGTTTCCCGCTGTCTTCGGTTACACTCCAGCCTTTCACAGGGTGTCTGGGGCGGCTGAATGCACCCCCCCGCCCCTCCCAGCAGGCCCCAGACACAAAGGGGGCTCTTGTCCCACACAGGCCTGTGCAGGGGCCATTGTCCGAGCAGCCGCCCGGCGGGCGGTGCACACCCTGGGCTCGCCGCTCCTCCGGGCATTCAGGGCTGTCCGCTCAGATTAGCAGCGGCTCACGACTTAATGGGGGCGATATTTCA